GTTACACTCTCTACTATAGGATACTAGTTACACTCTCGACTATAGAACACTTAAACTCTCTACTATAGGACACTGGTTACACTCTCTACTATAGGATACTGGTTACACTCTCTACTATAGGACACTGGTTACACTCTCTACTATAGGACACTGGTTACACTCTCTACTATAGGACACTAGTTACACTCTCTACTATAGGATACTAGTTACACTCTCGACTATAGGACACTTAAACTCTCTACTATAGGACACTTAAACTCTCTACTATAGGACACTGGTTACACTCTCTACTATAGGACACTGGTTACACTCTCTACTATAGGACACTAGTTACACTCTCTACTATAGGACACTAGTTACACTCTCTACTATAGGACACTAGTTACACTCTCGACTATAGGACACTTAAACTCTCTACTATAGGACACTGGTTATACTCTCTACTATAGGACAATGGTTATACTCTCTACTATAGGACACTGGTTATACTCTCTAATATCGGACACTGGTTACACTCTCGACTAGAGGGCACTGGTTACACTTTCGACTAGAGGACACTGGTTACATTCTCCACTATAAGATACTTGTTTTACTGTTTTCTATATGTAACTTGTTACACCGGCGGATCTGGAATGCTAGTTACACTGGGGGATCTGTGACACTGGTTACACTGGAGGATCTGTGACACTGGTTACACTGGGGGATCTGTGACACTGGTTACACTATGGGATCTGTGACACTAGTTACACTGGGGTATCTGGGATACTGGTAATCTGGTATTCTGGTAATCTTAGTTTTAGCTTCATAGCAAACGGGTCATTCCATAGCTGGTCCGCTCCTGTGTTAACGAAAATCACCTAAAATGTTTATCACATTTCAAATGAAATCCGCAGCTCACAGTGTCACGCCATGCTCAGAAGCTGATGAACGAAACTATATCCTTCTAGTCTACAAATTTAGCAAAAATGCAACGGCCACCGTCTGGAAGAAGCAAAAATATTTCCCACAGCTAAAAGAAGTGCCCGTGCCTAGCGTCCATTTTGAGCTGAAGCATTAGGTGAGATCTAACAAACGGTCACCCAAGGAGCAGTACCCTCACTATTAGCTGGGGAAGGGACTTAGGACATTACATCCACCAGCAGGCGTCGCCCCTACAACGACCTGACTGCCTTCGTTAACGACTGTTCACCCAACAGCCATGCAGTTCTTTGGCACGCAGGAGACACATTGAACTTGGGTTTCGAACTGCGGACTTCCTACAAGATGTTATGTTATTTTCTGTTATCACAATCGACGTTACTGCAAATTGGGTATTGGATGCGTACTCAGTCCTCCGATGCAGCAGCCACTCCAAAGTACTTCTACTAATCGTTCTCATGAGAAGCTGGTTATATTGTCTCCTATATCGGCCCTGAAGACGGCACTGACATGTTTCACTATGCTAGACTCCCATGTCACGCAATTGTGCCAGTGTCAGGGATTCCTGTGACACTGGTTACACTGGGCGATCTAGGACACATTTTACACTGGGAAATCTGGGATACATTTCACACTGTATCATCTTTGATACTTTTTACACTATAGGATCTGGGAAACTGGTTACACTGTATAATCTTGGACAAGTTTACACTGCAGGATTTGGGAAACTGGTAACACTTGAGAATATAGGAAATCTGCTAAACTGTGCGTCTAGGCACAGGTTACACTAATTTGTCTGGGACACTGGTTACACTGGGTTGTCTGGGACACTGGTTACACTGGGTTGTCTGGGACACTTGTTACACTGGGTTGTCTGGGACACTGGTTACACGGAGCGATCTAGGAAACTGGTTTTACTGGGGGATCTAGGACACTTGTTACACTGAGGGATCTAGGACATTAGTTACACTGGGGGATCTAGGACATTAGTTACACTAGGGGATCTAGGACATTAGTTACACTGGGGGATCTAGGACATTAGTTACACTAGGGGATCTAGGACATTAGTTACACTAGGGGATCTAGGACATTAGTTACACTAGGGGATCTAGGACATTAGTTACACTAGGGGATCTAGGACATTAGTTACACTAGGGGATCTAGGACATTAGTTACACTGGGGGATCTAGGACATTAGTTACACTAGGGGATCTAGGACATTAGTTACACTAGGGGATCTAGGACATTAGTTACACTGGGGGATCTAGGACATTAGTTACACTAGGGGATCTAGGACATTAGTTACACTGGGGGATCTAGGACATTAGTTACACTAGGGAATCTAGGACATTAGTTACACTAGGGGATCTAGGACATTAGTTACACTAGGGGATCTAGGACATTAGTTACACTAGGGGATCTAGGACACTGGTTTTACTGGGGGATCTAGGACACTTGTTACACTGAGGGATCTAGGACATTAGTTACACTAGGGGATCTAGGACATTAGTTACACTGGGGGATCTAGGACATTAGTTACACTAGGGGATCTAGGACATTAGTTACACTAGGGGATCTAGGACATTAGTTACACTGGGGGATCTAGGACATTAGTTACACTAGGGGATCTAGGACATTAGTTACACTAGGGGATCTAGGACATTAGTTACACTGGGGGATCTAGGACATTAGTTACACTAGGGGATCTAGGACATTAGTTACACTGGGGGATCTAGGACATTAGTTACACTAGGGGATCTAGGACATTAGTTACACTAGGGGATCTAGGACATTAGTTACACTAGGGGATCTAGGACATTAGTTACACTAGGGGATCTAGGACACTGGTTTTACTGGGGGATCTATGACACTTGGTAATTATCGTCATGTGTCCTGCCAGCTGGGGTAGGCGCTCATGCATCTCCCCAGATCACGGTTCTTGGATGCCATGAACAGTTCTCTTGCTGATATCCCTCTATGCCAACGTTTTAACCCATCCAGCATCATCGTTCTTTGTCTGCCTCTACCCCTCTTTCCACTGATAGTTCCAGCTGTCACGATAATTTCCAATGCCTCTCTTCTCATTACGTGGCCAAAGAACAGTGTTCGTCTCCCTCCTTACTGTTGTACATAGACGCTGATTACACTGCGGCGATCTAGGACATTGGCTACAGTGGGGGATCTGAGACACTGGTTACACTGCGGGGATCTAGGACATTGGCTACAGTGGGGGATCTGAGACACTGGTTACACTGCGGGGATCTAGGACATTGGCTACAGTGGGGGATCTGAGACACTGGTTACACTGCGGGGATCTAGGACATTGGCTACAGTGGGGGATCTGAGACGCTGATTACACAGCGGGGATCTAGGACATTGGCTACAGTGGGGGATCTGAGACACTGGTTACACTGCGGGGATCTACGACATTGGCTACAGTGGGGGATCTGAGACGCTGATTACACTGCGGGGATCTACGACATTGGCTACAGTGGGGGATCTGAGACACTGGTTACACTGTGGGGATCTAGGACATTGGCTACAGTGGGGGATCTGAGACACTGGTTACACTGCGGGGATCTAGGACATTGGCTACAGTGGGGGATCTGAGACACTGGTTACACTGCGGGGATCTAGGACATTGGCTACAGTGGGGGATCTGAGACACTGGTTACACTGCGGGGATCTAGGACATTGGCTACAGTGGGGGATCTGAGACGCTGATTACACTGCGGGGATCTACGACATTGGCTACAGTGGGGGATCTGAGACACTGGTTACACTGTGGGGATCTAGGACATTGGCTACAGTGGGGGATCTGAGACACTGGTTACACTGCGGGGATCTAGGACATTGGCTACAGTGGGGGATCTGAGACACTGGTTACACTGCGGGGATCTAGGACATTGGCTACAGTGGGGGATCTGAGACACTGGTTACACTGCGGGGATCTAGGACATTGGCTACAGTGGGGGATCTGAGACGCTGATTACACAGCGGGGATCTAGGACATTGGCTACAGTGGGGGATCTGAGACACTGGTTACACTGCGGGGATCTAGGACATTGGCTACAGTGGGGGATCTGAGACACTGGTTACACTGCGGGGATCTAGGACATTGGCTACAGTGGGGGATCTGAGACACTGGTTACACTGCGGGGATCTAGGACATTGGCTACAGTGGGGGATCTGAGACGCTGATTACACTGCGGGGATCTAGGACATTGGCTACAGTGGGGGATCTGAGACACTGGTTACACTGCGGGGATCTAGGACATTGGCTACAGTGGGGGATCTGAGACACTGGTTACACTGCGGGGATCTAGGACATTGGCTACAGTGGGGGATCTGAGACGCTGGTTACACTGCAATCAAGTGTAAGTTTTGTATGGCGAGGCAATCAACTTTGTTCGTGAAATTGTGTCTGTTTGTCGCATAACAAACACAAACATTTAAATATTCAGAATAAATAAATAACAATCAATTTATAACATGTAAGTTTATTTAGTTGTCTTTCAGCATTTTAGTATACATCTGCTTGTTTGCCACATTTCTAAACGTCTAATTTTTAAAAGAGGAAACATGAACTACTGAATTCATTTTGAGCAGACAAAGTGGCATTACCTTGACACTTTTTGAAGATTCAAGACAAAGGCAGAAATCATAGACGTGTTTGTGCGTGTTGTGAAAAACGCTGTGTAAATGTGGGGAAAAGTTACTAGAATGTAGGAAACAGAATGTAGAATTATGTATAAGTGTGTAGAACACGTGAAGTCTGTTGAAGTGTGTTCGGAACACGTTACTGGAGTGCTTAGAACACGCTGTGGAAGACTGTGGAAGACGTTGTGGGAGTGTGTGGAAGACGTTCTGGAAGTGTGTGGAAGACATTGTGGAAGTGTGTGGAAGACGTTGTGGAAGTGTGTGGAAGACGTTGTGGAAGTGTGTGGAAGACGTTGTGGAAGTGAGTTGAACACGTTGTGAAACTTTATTATACGCTTTTGGTAAGTCGGTTAAACACTTTGTCGGAGATGTGCTGGGTAAGTCGGTTAAACACTTTGTCGGAGATGTGCTGGGTCGGTTATTCAAGAGAGTGGAACATCTTTAACAGTTTTCTTTAGAATAGTAAACTCGTTTATAGTCCGTTCAAGCAGCTTTATCAGAAACTCAGCACAATGAGAGTGTTTGAGTTTCACATCTCTTACAGCTTGAGTGTAATAGGTAATCAGATAGTCAAGACGGGAAAGCAGCTTTCTAACAGCTACAGAATTTAATGAGCCAGGGGTTTTCATGCGATCTACATCTTTTTTTATTGAAATGATTTCATTTTTAGATTGTAAAATCAGCCTTATCAGAATAGCAGCTATTGGGGAGTGCCTGGTTCTCAGATAACGCAAGTCTATGTCCAGCAATTCAGTCTCGTGTTTCGAGAGTACATACAGCTTTATCACGGCAGCTACATTTGCTGGGCCAATGGTCTCCAGAATAATTAACTGGTTTCGTAAAGTAGTAATCTCGCTTGTATACCTCAAACACAGCTTTATCACAATCTCAGCACTTGGTGAGCGGATGTTTTTCAGATCCCTTATAGCATTCGTCAAAGAAATAAGATACATTTTAGATGTTTCGATCAGCCGTATAACAACGCCAGTATTTGGTGTCTTATTGGCTTTCAGATCACTTATAACTTTTTTCAGGGACTTAATAGCAACCGCCAATTCGTCAAACAGCTTTATCCAAACTTTCACTTTTGACGAGAAATTGGTATTGAGGTCATTTAGAGCCCTATTCAAAGAATCAGTTTCACCATTGGGTAATGCTAACACCAGTGAAGCACTTTTAAAATTTATTGGGACAACAGTTTTCAGATCATTTAAAGCTGCATTTAAAGCAGCAACCTGGGCTTTAGATTGCTCAATCAGCTTCATCAAAGCATCAGCCCCTAGAGAGTGACTGGTTTGCACATCACGTATAGCATTAGTCAAAGAAGTGATTGTAGCTTTAGAACTATCAAGCACTTTGATAACAACTGTAGATCTTGCAGACTGACTAGGCTGCACAGCAGTAAGAGCTTTTATCAAAACCTCAATTTGTTCTTTATACTTAGAAAGCAATTTGACCATGCCATCAACACTTTCACGAACTTCAATATTAGTCTTAAACTTAATGTTGGTCCCGTCTGTTAGCAGTGCCGTGATTTCACAGTGGTACGTCCCGGTCTGTTGGGGACCAGGAAATGACCAAGTAGCCTGCACGAATCCATTGTTGTCGGGAAGTCCACCAGTCACCGTGGCGCCTAATGCAGAAGTTCCAGCCACAGCAGGTTTACCATTAGCAATGCTAGCTACATCTTCCTGGGCGGAGCCTTTAACTGGAGGAGAAAAATGAACGGTTGAAACACACATAGCGTTTATTTTTTGGCTACAAGTTTCATTTAGAGAAGCTTATCGTTATATTGTACGACTAAAGATTGCCAGTGGTTCTCTGTCAAATGAAAAAGTCTAACGTCTTGGCGATCAACCATGCCATTCAATTGTCTTACTGTGTGCATTTAGTTGACTTCAGAATTTACATCACAGTATTAGGGGCATTCTCATACGCGCTACTTCTCCATCTTTGGCAGCCAATCAGAGTTCCAATGCCAGTGGTAGCGGTTGCAGTCTGGTTGCATGTCCGTCTAGACTTTCCTCCTGTCACACTCAGGTGCATCATTCTCTTTAGGCTCTAATAATCTAGTTTCTCTTCTGACTTTGTTATTTGTTCCCAAAGGGCTTTGACCCACATCTACCTTGTCAGGTATCAGTTCATCAACCAATGGTGCAGATCCAGTCAATCTGTCTGCCTGTTCATTCCCCACCTCACCGGCATCGCCTGGGGGAAAAATCCAAAGGATGCTGACTACCTGAGGCCTTTCAATTGAAGCTTGTCACTCTGCTCGAAGCAACCCTGTCTTCACCTTTATCGCATGCTTTCAGAGTCTGTTACAATTGCGGCATGTGTATGTATATTGTTCTCTAGCTACCGGCACGCAGCAAGGACACCAGAAAGTATGGAACATTCGAGAAACTTAGGTGTTTCGGAAGTATAGAACGTTCGAGAAACTTTGGTTCCCCAGGAAGTATGGAATGTTCGAGAGGCGTAGGTCACCCAGGAAGTATGGAATGTTTGAGAAACTTAGACAACTACTTGGGGGATCTGAAATATTCGGAAATTAAGACAACTACTTCCGAGATCTGGAATGTTTGAGAAACTTAGACAACTAATTAATAAATGTGGAATGTTCGGAAACTTAGACAACTACTTCCGAGATCTGGAATGTTCGAGAAACCTAGACAACTACTTGGGAGATCTGGAATGATTGAGAAACTTAGACAACTTCTTGGGAGATCTGGAATGTTCGAGAAACTTAGACAACTACTTGGGAGATCTGGAATGTTTGAGAAACTTAGACAACTACTTGGGAGATCTGGAATGTTTTGGAAACTTAGACAACTACTTGGGAGATCTGGAATGTTTGAGAAACTTAGACAACTACTTGGGAGATCTGGAATATTTGAGAAACTTAGACAACTACTTGGGAGATCTGGAATGTTCAGAAGCTTGGACAACTACTTGGGAGATCTGGAATGTTTGAGAAACTTAGGCAACTACTTGGGAGATGTAGAATGTTTGAGAAACTTAGACAACTACTTGGGAGATCTGGAATGTTTGAGAAACTTAGACTACTTGGGAGATCTGGAATGTTTGAGAAACTTAAACAACTACTTAGGAGATCTGGAATGTTTGAGAAACTTAGAGAACTACTTGGGAGATCTGGAAAGTTTGAGAAACTTAGACAACTACTTGGGAGATCTAGAATGTTTGGAAACTTAGACAACTACTTGGGAAATCTGGAATGTTCGGAAACTTAGACAACTACTTGGGAGATCTGAAATGTTCGGAAACTTAGACAACTACTTGGGAGATCTGGAATATTTAGAAACTTAGACAACTACTTGGGAGATCTGGAATGTTTGAGAAAACTTAGACAACTACTTGGGAGATCTGGAATGTTTGAGAAACTTAAACAACTACTTAGGAGATCTAGAATGTTACAGAAACTCAAACAACTACTTAGGAGATCTGGAATGTTTGAGAAACTTAGACAACTACTTAGGAGATCTGGAATGTTTGAGAAACTTAGACAACTACTTGGGAGATCTGGAATGTTTGAGAAACTTAGACAACTTCTTGGGAGATCTGGAATGTTTGAGAAACTTAGACAACTGCTTGGGAGATCTGGAATGTTTGAGAAACTTAGACAACTACTTGGGAGACAACTACTTTTGCGTGGTCCAGAGGAATGTTGTCCACACCGAGTGCTTGAGGTACTAGGTTCAAGCCCTGGTGAGGGCTGAGATTTTTTGTGACGTGGATTTCTAGTAATCTCCCCCTATTAGGAAAATGTAAAGTTAAAAATCTACCCAAATTATTAAAGGATCCTCGCCGGTGCAAAAAAGTTCGTGCACAACGCTGAGATAATTGGGACTCAGGCTTGAGATTGAACAAGAACGGAGCTTTTATACGTTATATCCGTGTACCATGATGTTGATCCTTTATATAAACAATTATCTACACATAATTGTGTTCACATCTCACCGACTAGTAGTAATTTCTCTCACTGTTCACATCTCACCCGTATAGGTGTAAGGTCTCTCTTTGTTCACATCTCACCCGTCTAGGAGCAAGTTCTCTCACTGTTCACATCTCACTCGTCTAGTAGTAATTTCTCTCACTGTTCACATCTCACCCGTATAGGAGTAAGGTCTCTCTTTGTTCACATCTCACCCGTCTAGGAGTTAGGTCTCTCACTGTTCACATCTCACCCGTCTAGTAGTAATTTCTCTAACTGTTCACATTTCACCCGTATAGGAGTAAGGTCTCTCTTTGTTCACATCTCACCCGTCTAGGAGCAAGTTCTCTCTTTGTTCACATCTCACCCGTCTAGTAGTATTTTCTCTCACTGTTCACATCCCACCCGTCTAGGAGCAAGTTCTCTCTTTGTTCACATCTCACCCGTCTAATAGTATTTTCTCTCACTGTTCACATCTCACCCGTCTAGTAGTTATTTCTCTCACTGTTCACATCTCACCCGTCTAGTAGTAATTTCTCTCACTGTTCACATCTCACCCGTCTAGTAGTAATTTCTCTCACTGTTCACATCTCACCCGTCTAGTAGTAATTTCTCTCACTGTTCACATCTCACCCGTATAGGAGTAAGGTCTCTCTTTGTTCACATCTCACCCGTCTAGGAGTAAGGTCTCTCTTTGTTCACATCTCACCCGAAGGGAAGTAAGTTCTCTCTTTGTTCACATCTCACCTGCCTAGGAGCAAATTCTCTCTTTGTTCACATCTCACCTGTTTAGGAGTAAGTTCTCTCTTTGTTCACATCCCACCCGTCTAGGAGTAAGTTCTCTCTTTGTTCACATCTCACCCGTCTAGGAGTAAGTTCTTTCTTTGTTCACATCTCACCAGTCTAGGAGCAATTTCTCTCACTGTTCACATCTCACCCGTCTAGTAGTAATTTCTCTCACTGTTCACATCTCACCCGTCTAGTAGTAATTTCTCTCACTGTTCACATCTCACCCGTCTAGTAGTAATTTCTCTCACTGTTCACATCTCACCCGTATAGGAGTAAGGTCTCTCTTTGTTCACATCTCACCCGTCTAGGAGTAAGGTCTCTCTTTGTTCACATCTCACCCGAAGGGAAGTAAGTTCTCTCTTTGTTCACATCTCACCTGCCTAGGAGCAAATTCTCTCTTTGTTCACATCTCACCTGTTTAGGAGTAAGTTCTCTCTTTGTTCACATCCCACCCGTCTAGGAGTAAGTTCTCTCTTTGTTCACATCTCACCCGTCTAGGAGTAAGTTCTCTCTTTGTTCACATCCCACCCGTCTAGGAGTAAGTTCTCTCTTTGTTTACATCTCACCCGTCTAGGAGTTAGGTCTCTCTTTGTTCACATCTCACCCGTCTAGGAGTAAGTTCTTTCTTTGTTCACATCTCACCTGTCTAGGAGCAATTTCTCTCGCTGTTCACATCTCACCTGTCTAGGAGCAATTTCTCTCGCTGTTCACATCTGACTGGTCTATGAGTTATTGTACCTGTGACGTTAAAAGTCGTATATGTGTTTCTTGTCCTTACCTTTACTAAGTACGATTTTAGTTACACGGGAAATGGCCTGCCCCGGTTTTGCATCGTTCTGAGGACAAACGTATTCAGATTACTCTCTACTCCCCTTCTCACTTACACAGACACATACACACACACAGACACACAGACACATACACACACAGACACACAGACACACAGACACACAGACACATACACACACAGACTCACAGACACATACACAAGTGGAAAACGAAAATAAATTGGAGAAAATAAGACAACTGCCAAACGAACCGATGGAGGCGACCTCTTTGACACACGATAAATATTCATCAAAGGTAAACTGTGACACTCCAGTACTGACACGGGAGCCACAGTTGTGAAGAGATTAGATGGTCATTCATGGATCCGAATGTCGTGAGTTCAAACCCTAACAAAACCTAACTGCTTTATAATGATCTTTAAACCAAGGTCGACCCATCCTTAAAAGGGACCCCTATAAAATTACGAGAAGTAAAGGCGGCCATCCTTATGTTTGCATCAGCCATTGATTTCCGATTGGTCAATAAAAAGTAGGTCAAGCACCACGTGCGTCCCAAGGCGAGGAAAAGTTTTTTTTTTCTCTCTCTCTATTACTCTTAGGGAGCGGACATTAATATGACCTACTGTGAATTGTGGGTACAAGTTGATAGGGAGAGAAAAAAGTCTGAGTTAGCCTATACCTAGCTTATAAGTCGACCCACAAACATACAGCTGGCTACCAGTTGTTCACAAAGGAAGAAAGCCTGTAGTCAAACACAGTTAGGCTGCATCATACAATAACTTGTGAAAACTACTAAATAAGCTCTGTCACTTATTAACCTATCCAGGCATAACCCATACTATCTGTTCATGTGCCTTATACTGTAACCGACCTACAATACAAACCAGTAGCTACAGTACGTGATGTTGGTTTCACTCAGTGCAGGACCTTTATCAAAACCTCTAGTGTAGTACTGGGCATATAGGGCAGTATGTTCAGACCTATCTGCACTCGGTGGTACCTATGTATGGTTTCGTCGATGTTGCCTCCAAAGTCTTTTTTTTTCCAACTATGAAGTCGTACACCTGACCTTCCTAAACGCAGGCTTGTACCTAACCACTACACCACGGTGGCTGCGGTGTAGCTCTAGTAAAGTGACGGACTCTTTACCACGCCTTTAGGCATATTGGGCACGTAGGACATATCCAACTCTTGGGTGTAATCGCTAATCTTACGCCGAACGAGTGTACTTACCAGAATTCTACTTCGAAAGATTTACAACGCTTGAAAACTCTACGGGAGCATCCTTTCACGATATATAAATATATAAGTCAGAACACTAGAGTCTCACCTTCAGAGAACAGCGGACAGTTAACGTGGAAGTCAGTCCCGTAGCGATGGTCGCTGGAGCTGCGGAGATCACTATCCTTCCTTCTACGAAGACAATCAAGATTGTCAAATCACGTCATTTGGAATATGTGTGTTTTATGTGTGTAACACAGTAGGAGGGGGTAGATGATACATGACATTTCAGCGCGTTGTGTATATATATATATATATATATATATATATATATATATATATATATATATATATATATATATATATATATATATATAGGGAGGAGCATCCATGTTGTTACTTGTGCTGTTGGGACAGTTGAGATGATCTGGTTCGCGGTAGAGGGGGAGGGTGGCAGGGAATGACGTCAGTTTGTTTGAAGAGGGATGATGATACTCACTGACTGTTCGCAAGTAATCCTTAAGCTGGTTTATGTGTGTGTGTATGCCTCTCTATGTGTGTGTGTATGTGTGTGTGTGTGCGTCGTGCCTGCATGTGTATGCGGGTGTGTGTTAAGGGGGTGGAAGGATGCAGGAACGAGGGGGGGGGGAGGAGTGTTACGGTTTCAGTAGACATAAAGCAGGAAAGAGAAGGTCGACAAGCTTGACATTTGCGTTGTGGAAGAAACATGTTCTTATGGGTCTAGCTCTCTGTTTTTTCTCACAGTTAAATATGCATTGATTGTTGTTTCAAGTGGTGACATTTATCGAACTGCACAAGGAGCTTCGTGTCTCTTCTGTCTGCCTGCATAAGGAGACCTCGAGGCAAATCATACAGGAGATTGTATCGGTTCATATGTTTGTTTTAGTATCCAGAAGCCATGAGTTGTTAACCCTTAGGCTCGGTATTATGGATATCGCAACCTTTCGGCCTTGATTCCATTGTAAATACCGTAAATCTGGGAGAAAATGTGGCTTTCCTGCCTACCCCCGGGATTGAACCAGGACCACAAGGAGTACGTCACCCGGTCTCCGCGAAATCCGGTTTAGCCAATTCCGCTAGAGAGCCGGGTTATCGGTTCATATAGGCTATGGGAGGTAATATAAGGGATGGCTACTATTTTTTTTCCTAATCCCATGATTGTTGCGTGTGGGATTTGTTCATATGTAACTTTTGCAGTTATTGTTGTTCACAGACCTGACTATGTAGGTGGCGTTGTTGTTCAGAGATCTGACCGCTGCAGGATGTTGTTGTTCACAGACCTGACCGCTGCAGGATGTTTTTGTGTAGAGATCTGACCGCTGCAGGATGTTGTTGTTCACAGACTTGACCGCTGCAGGAGGTTGTTGTTCACAGACCTGACTATGTAGGTGGCGTTGTTCAGAGATCTGACCGCTGCAGGATGTTGTTGTTCACAGACCTGACCGCTGCAGGATGTTGTTGTTCACAGACCTGACCGCTGCAGCATGTTGTTGTTCACAGACCTGACCGCTGCAGGATGGTTTTGTTCACAGACCTGACCGCTGCAGGATGTTGTTGTTCACAGACCTGACCGCTGCAGGATGGTGTTGTTCACAGACCTGACCGCTGCAGGATGGTGTTGTTCACAGACTTGACCGCTGCAGGATGGTGTTGTTCACAGACTTGACCGCTGCAGGATGGTGTTGTTCGCAGACTTGACCGCTGCAGGATGGTGTTGTTCACAGACTTGACCGCTGCAGGATGGTGTTGTTCACAGACTTGACCGCTGCAGGATGGTGTTGTTCACAGACTTGACCGCTGCAGGATGGTGTTGTTCACAGACCTGTCTTCTGCAGGATGGTTTTGTTCACAGACTTGACCGCTGCAGGATGGTGTTCACAGATAGACATGCCTAATGCGCATGGGTATTGTTTAGATATAACTATTGCTGGTAGTGTTGTTCACTTGACCACAGGGTGGCCACCATGATAATATCGTTGAATTCCTAAAATCATGGTCCTAGCAACAAATTCCGCAACGATGTTTTTTGTTGTTGTTGTTGTTGTTGTTGTTGTTGCTAAAAAGTCCAGTTTCTGACCTGATAGATCTGCTTCATCACCAATGTCCTATGTTGCCGTTAGTACACGTGTGGTGATACAATCTGGGATCCATTGCTTGATGTGCAGCACTGGCTATTGTGCCGTTAGTACACGTGTGGTGATACAATCTGGGATCCATTGCTTGATACACAGCACTGGCTATTGTGCCGTTAGTACACGTGTGGTGATACAATCTGGGATCCATTGCTTGATACACAGCACTGGCTATTGTGCCATTAGTGCACGTGTGGTGATACAATCTGGGATCCATTCCTTGATGTGCGGCACTGGCTATTGTGCCATTAGTACACGTGTGGTGATACAATCTGGGATCCATTCCTTGATGTGCGGCACTGGCTATTGTGCCATTAGTGCACGTGTGGTGATACAATCTGGGATCCATTCCTTGATGTGCGGCACTGGCTATTGTGCCATTAGTACACGTGTGGTGATACAATCTGGGATCCATTCCTTGATGTGCGGCACTGGCTATTGTGCCATTAGTACACGTGTGGTGATACAATCTGGGATCCATTGCTTGATACACAGCACTGGCTATTGTGCCATTAGTGCACGTGTGGTGATACAATCTGGGATCCATTCCTTGATACGCAGCACTGGCTATTGTCATTCTGTGTAGAAGCTCTTTAATGTCATCAATTCATGTCTCTAGGGCGAACTCTTGCCTTCACATCAGATTATTTCATGTGTAGCACCTACGTCGGTAGTTGTTCTAGCTGCATTCCTAGTAAATTCCTAACAGGTTGGGCCACGTGTCGTAAAACCATCATTATTCAAACACATTGGTGTTAAAAACCCACACTAAAACACGTTTTAATTCTGATCTGCAACAATGAGAAATTAAACGTTAATAAAAGTGTAGAAAAGACCAGACATGAACTTACCATGATGTTTGTCTACCCCAGAGACAGCAACAAACAGGAGACCAAAGAGAACACAACCAATCATTTTAGTCTGTGAACACAAAGAGAGCAATTATGTCAACAGAAACAATTCGGTATACCCTGTTTAGCTGTCTGCAACGGGCTGGTATTGATAAGCTGTTAGTAGGCAGTTAGCCTGTTATAACAATTTGGGTTGGGCTACATTTGCGAAATAAAACTGGCAAGTTTGCAGATCGGGACTTTCCGGAAATGGCCAGTGAGTCGACAAGTTTATATAAAAGCCCAGAGCAGTAAAAAATAAAATGTCTCGCAGGTCGCCCTAGAAACATGTTTTCTGAATTTTCGTTGCCGGACCGTATAGAGTTCTCAGCTCAATGTGGTCTCGAGAACACGGCGTCGAGAGATGGATTAGCTTGTCGGTTTCGTGTTGTGGCGGTATGTTTGTGCAAGTTGTCAATCTAGGCGCAGCCAATGTGGCTATAACTTGTAATGCCGTGCAGCGGGGAAACCAGCCCTGAGCTTCATGAACTCAGGTGGGCCCACTCTCTGAAAACGTCTAGGAGGTCGTGGGCCGAAACGTTTTTCGACGAGGGATAACTTCTACTGATGACTGGTAGATCCCCGCTGTACTTGCTCCCCTGTGGAGTTAGTTCCTATTGTAGCTGACGTAGTGTAATTCACTAATTCATCTCCTGAGCGATGGGTAATATTTCATGCTTTCTGCAACAGAAAAACCCTTGTCTTTTCTTTACTCTTTCTTGCAGACTCGCGGGAAACTACTTATTGTTCTAACAACATTTCTTTTCTCGTCTCCTTGCTTGTTTTTCTTATTTTCTTCTTCCCGCTAACCCACGTATAAAACAGACTAGGACAACATTTAAACTGGGACACATCCGTCAAATACTGTAACAAATTGCAATTTATAGGCAACTAGCCCGTATAGTAATATTTTACAAAAATACATCAGTTACATGAACAACAAGCAGCCATCAGAGCAGCTGGTGAAACATCTGATTGGTTCAAGGTGCAAAAAGGGGTGAGACAGGGGTGCATTCTCTCACCATACCTATTCAATATATACGCAGAAAAAAATAATGAGAAATGTCAAAAATGACCAGACTTGTGACAGTTATGATCTGCTCAAAATTGGTGGCAACCCTATTCCGAACTCCGCTACGCAGATGACACAGTCCTCCTTTCGAACAGCGTAAAGGGAATAGAAAATGTAATATTGTCCGTCCAAAAGCACAGTGAAGATCAAAATCTGTTCTTGAATTTTAAGAAAGCGAAAATAATGTCCACACATAAAACTGGCTGTCACCCAAAAATAACATTACATGATAAAGAAATTGAAAATGTCACAAACTTTGAATATCTAGGCTCTATAATAAACAACAATGGAGACTGTTCGACAGAAATTAAAAGGAGGATGGCCATAACAATGCAAAGATTGAACAGCCTTAAAAGTCTATGGTTAAGCACCAGCAAGGAGATAACAATTAGAATTTTGAGAGCATGCATCTTCCCTGTGGCTACATACGGATGTGAGTCATGGACTATCTCTCAGTCCTTAAGAATGATAATAGGGACTTTTGAACTGAAATGCTATAGAAAGATTCTCAGAATATCTTGGACAAAGAAGAGGAAAAATATCGACATCTTAAAAGATCTGAACATCAGGGATGATTGGCTAATAAACAGCATCTTTTCTCGAAAGCTGAAATATTTTGGTCATATCAAGCGCCACGACGGATTGGAAAAAATTATAGCAGAAGGCATGGTACCAGGAAGGAGAGGCAGGGGCCGACCGACACGAAGATGGGCACGTGATATAAGTGACTCCTTGAGTGTGAAAGTTCATGAGGCGGGAAAACTGGCAAGAGACCGAGTTTCTTACAGGCAGACTGTGATGAGAGCGACGTTCTTTAAAGGACCTGCTACATGAAGATGATGATGATGACATCAGTTACACAAACTTGGCGTCAGTTGGTTAAGGCAGAACAAGAAAAAAGGAAGAAGAATAAACCTAGATAAGGAAACTCGCTCGTGTGTCACCCGGACCCTCACGGGAAGCAAAGAATAGTGACACTGCAGCCGACCAGAAGTCGTAAGAGCCGACAAAGAGTAGGGTTGAGCTTAAGGTTGCCTGCCCTTTCCTGTAAAAACAATAGCAATAATAAGAAAAAACTCCACAGGGGAACATGTTCAGCAGGTGTCTACCAATCATTAGTAGAAGTGAATCTCGTCCATAATTGTTTCGGCCTACGAGCTCCTAGACAATTTCTGAGGGTGGGTCCACCTGAGTTCATTAATCTAAATAAAAAAATAAAATAAAAACATGCATAAGTCAAAAAGACAAGCGAGTAAAACTCAGCCAACCAAGATGAAGGAAGACTCTTCAAGTAGACCAGTTATGACACAGTGTGGAGAAAGCCGAAAGGAGTCCGGATCTTCGACGTACCTCCTCCAACCTAGGAAAACCTCTAAAATTGGCACCTGGAATGTTAGAACACTGTGCAATATATAGGAAGAACGATGGAATTAGTAAGGGAAATTAAACATTATAGAATTAGTATTCAAGGGCTATGTGAAACTAGATGAAATGGGGCGGGAAAAAGTATTCTAAATTCAAGGGACACTATTTTGTTCTAGGATACACAGAGGAGAAATGCCGCCACAGTGAAGAAGTGGCCCTGATGCTTTCGAAAGCAGCAGACTGGGCATTACAAAAATGGGAAGCTGTGCGTCCCAGAATAATAAGAGCGTCATTTAGAAGAGTGAAACAGGAAGTGAACATGTCGGTAATTTAGTGTTATGCACCAACAAATGATAAAGATGCAACAGGTCAGGACGAATTGTATATGCAGCTTCAAAATATAAATAATGAAAGAAAAGGCAATTCAACAATTTTGGTGGGTGACCCGAATGCTAAGATAGGATCAAACAACACAGGTTATGAAGAGATTATGAGAAGAAATGGACTGGGAGTAATAAATGGAAATGGAGAATTATTAATAAATTTGTGTGCAGGAGACCAGTGTTATTGATGGAAGTATTTTCCCAAAATAAAATAATCAAATCATTACCTTTATCTGGAACTGAAACATGGAGAACAACTAAGGCAATTACTACTAAACTAATGGCATTCATTAACTGGTGGCTGCGCAGAATAGAGGCAATTGAATGATAGGAAACAATCACTAATGCAGACATAAATGAGCTGGACTTTGCGGATGATATTTCTCTGCTGTCCCATTCACGGAATCGGGTGCAAGATAAATTCAATATACCTCATACACGGTCACAGCAGATAGGTCTGAAAATCCATCAAGGAAAGACAAAGATAATAAAACTAAATTGGGCTCATGGTAGTGGGGTTTCTCTAAATGGCACCCCACTCCAAGACAAGGAGTCGTGCACCTAGCTGTGCTGTAATGTAGTTGAAGATGGGCTGACTGATAGAAATATTAAAAAAAGAATACAAAAAGCAAGAGGAGCTTTCATAGCACTAACGAATTTGTGGAGGTCAATATAAATTAAAAGAAATACCAAACGTAACATTTTTAATTCTAATGTCAAATCAGTACTTTTGTATGGAACGGAAACACGGAGAACAACTAGGGCAATTACTGATAAACTACATACTTTCATTAACTGGTGCCTGCGCAGAAAAGAGGAAATAGAATAGACGTGTCTTTAGAATCACTAATGTAGAGCTTTTGGAGAAAACTAAACAAGCTCCAGTAAACCAAGAGGTGTAGAAAAGACGCTGGCGTCGGATACGGCACACACTGATTTAAAAAAAATTTCAGAACAATATAATTAAATTCTCATTGCACTGGAAACAATAGAAACATTTGAATGAAAGAAGGCCAAAAACCCATGGAGAATGTAGCTGGAGAATGAAGTTGGAAAGACGGGTAAGACATAGGAAGAGCTGCATGCAATAGCAAAACATAGAACGTCTTTGCTTGAGTTGGATGAGGGCCTATGCTCCACTGGGGGCTAGAAAGGCAGACGAAGAAGAAAGAAGGAAGACACGTGTCTGCTAGCCATACTCACAGGAGAGTCTGTGTAGGGATGTGCAGTCCGTCAACTCGCCATCACCCCCTTATATATGATTGTATTTGGTCAGCATTTGCAGGATAATTGCACCAGCTGTCGGCGTCCACACCACACCTCCAGACAAGGTGACAACAGTGTCGGCTGACATCATGTAATATTATAGTTCTGTTTGCGCAACTGCAGCCGACACCTCTTGTGTATCATCATCACTATCAACATCAAGTACCTTACCGTCTGGCGTGGGTTGTCACGTCTCCCCACAACTTGTGATCAACGGCATCACGTAGCAGTTCGGATAGTGTCACTGCACCATACCGGAAGTGACCCCTCCCCCAACAATCTGCGGCCTATTGACCTGGCTAACCTTCGTGTTGTGGGTGGCTCAACTATTCTCTTCAAATGGGCAATTCTTAATTAGGCATGGTATCTTCTAATTTCCTGACCTCTACTACTGTATACAAATGTGTGCAGGCAGGACATAAGTGATTCATGTATTGAGGTGGAATCGTGGGAACAATATGCCATGGGCCGTGTTGTGTGGAAGGGATACCTCAGGAAGGAAATGAGAATGAGGAAAACAATTACTGCAGAAAACATGAGAGCTGAATGCCTGAGAAGAAACAGACTCACACAAATGTTGACAAAAATGGTCCTGAAACTCTATGCTATATTGTGGACGATTCTTTCAAACGAGGGCGGGTCTTGCTAGCTCACCCACCATCGCCCTAGGCTATGAGTCCCATGTCTCCTCATAGCTCAACCATCTTCAATCTCCTCTTCGTGTTGATCGTAGCTCAACCATCTTCAATCTCATCTTCGTGTTGATCGTAGCTCAACCATCTTCAATCTCCTCTTCGTGTTGATCGTAGCGCAACCATCTTCAATCGCCTCTTCGTGTTGATCGTAGCTCAACCATCTTCAATCTCCTCTTCGTGTTAATCGTAGCTCAACCATCTTCAATCGCCTCTTCGTGTTAATCGTAGCTCAACCATCTTCAATCGCGTCTTCATGTTAATCGTAGCTCAACCAACTTCCGCTAAGTTATTCTATCCTTTATCCTTTTCTACACACCACTCAGTATCTTTCTTTTAAAATTCACAGAGCTGTTTGTCTCTTCTATATAATATTGGCCTGTAGATTCCAGGGAAAAGACTATCTGCTTATACATTATTACGTTCTCTTTACGTGTGTTTGACCAATCCTTTCGTTAGCTCTTTATTTCATAAAATGAGTTTTCTGTGATTTCTGTTTCTGCCTCTCTCCCCACACCCCCATCTATTTATCTCTGTGTGTGCTTTCTCGGATTCCATCACTACCGCTGTAGCATAACTTATTGCATTATATTCTAGACAAACATGCATACATGTGTGACAGCAGTTTCTCACGAACTGCCTTCATCGTTCACCATGTTATTGCTCACTATAACATTTCTGATTTGTCGTTAGATAGAATATTCTATTTGCTAGTAGGTGTCATTACGTGTTCTCCCTCAAATCTGTGTGACGTTGGTAGTCATGTCTTCCCACAACCTCCTGACTGCTAAACTTTCAGTCATCTCTGACTCACATGATCTTCCATGCCATTATTTCAAACTGTCCATTAACTTCTGTCTCAGTCTGCCTCTCTTCTCATCCAACTTTCCTTTCACGATGTACGCAGCTTTCTCCTTCTTGATCAAATAATGAAGATTGTCTCCTTCTGATGAAAGTTCTCTTTGGTTAAAATGTACACAGAGAGTATTATTGAAAAAAGTGTGTTGTTTGTACGTACACATAGAGTACACATAGAGTACACATAGAGTACACATAGAGTACACATAGAGTATTGATTGAAAAAAATGGCTGATTGTCGGCACAAGAAGAGTGCAAATGAGTGCTGATTTAACAAAATCGATGATTATCTGTATAAATCGAATGTTGATTGATCAACGGACGCTGACTGTCTGTACAAATAGTGTATTGTCTGCGAAATAGTGCTGATTGTGTACAAATAGTGTATTGTCTGAGAAATAGTGCTGATTGTGTACAAATAGTGTATTGTCTGAGAAATAGTGCTGATTGTGTACAAATAGTGTATTGTCTGCTAAATAGTGCTGATTGTGTACAAATAGTGTTTTGTCTGAGAAATAGTGCTGATTGTGTACAAATAGTGTATTGTCTGAGAAATAGTGTTGATTGTGTACAAATAGTGTATTGTCTGAGAAATAGTGTTGATTGTGTACAAATAGTGTATTGTCTGAGAAATAGTGTTGATTGTGTACAAATAGTGTATTGTCTGAGAAACAGTGCTGATTGTGTACAAATAGAGGTTACACTGAAAAAGCGCAGTTTGTACAGAGTGTTGAATAAAATAGTTATAGGCGTAGGTGGTGGAACATCTTCCTTAGAACTGTCTAGACAGAGGGTTGTCATGTCTCCTTTTAGTTGTTGCTGAACAAGATGAATTATCTCCCCACCCGCCACCCCCTCCCCCGGATTCCAATTGTCTTGGAATTTGTATGTGTCCAGGTCAACAGATTCCGGGGCCTGTGTCGAGCAGCACATACTGATAGTGGCTGGATGAGGGCGAAGAGAAGGCTCGGCGCTAGCTTGACCCTGTGACCCGGGTACCCAATGTGTGTGTGTGAGACTAGGCGTCAATTCAAGAACCTTTACATTGTCTCTAGACATCCCGAGAACCGTCGTGACAACCAAACAAATCAAGCTGGGCTTGAAGCTCTAGCAAACAATCATTGGCTGGTGCTGAAACATGGTAGTCTGGTCTAATCTATACAATTATCAACCAGTGACGGTAAACAAACACAACAAAGCAGTGTAATCCATTCCATCAGAATTCCTAATTGGACAAACAGGTTTCGAACTCAATACAACGCCCAGCATTAGCACCGCGTCCCACGATCTTGATGAGCACAATCCGTTGTCAAACTTTGTCAAATCTGATAAAGCCACAGTCAGTCGGGAAAATTGACATTGACATAGTCAGTCAGCATGCTCCTAATCATGAGCAAGCTCACCCAGGTGGTGAGGCTTAGGCACGTATACGTCATTTAGTTCACACATCACTATCAGTATTAACTGTGGCCACAAAACTGAAAAACAACATAATATTACCTGTGGCCACACAACGGAAAAACAACATAATATTAACTGTGGCCACACAACGGAAAAACAACATAATATTAACTGTGGCCACACAACGGAAAAACAACATAATATTAACCGTGTCTAAAAGAAAGAAAGCAGACATAACATCAACTGTAACTAAAAACAGAACACCAACATAACATTAACTGTGGCTACAGAACAGAAAACCAACATAACATTAACTGCGCCTACAGAACAGAACACCAACATAACATTAACTGTGGCTACAGAACAGAACACCAACATAACATTAACTGTGCCTACAGAACAGAACACGAACATAACATTAGCTGTGGCTACAGAACAGAACACCAACATAACATTAACTGTGGCTACAGAACAGAACACCAACATAACATTAACTGTGGCTACAGAAAGAACACCAACATAACATTAACTGTGGCTACAGAACAGAACACGAACATAACATTAACTGTGGCTACAGAACAGAACACCAACATAACATTAACTGTGGCTACAGAACAGAACACCAACATAACATTAACTGCGCCTACAGAACAGAACACCAACATAACATTAACTGTGCCTACAGAACAGAACATAACATTAACTGTGGCTACAGAACAGAACACCAACATAACATTAGCGGTGCCTACAGAACAGAACACCAACATAACATTAACTGTGGCTACAGAACAGAACACCAACATAACATTAACTGTGGCTACAGAACAGAACACCAACATAACATTAGCTGTGCCTACAGAACAGAACACCAACATAACATTAACTGTGGCTACAGAACAGAACACCAACATAACATTAGCTGTGCCTACAGAACAGAACACCAACATAACATAACTGTGGCTACATAACAGAACACCAACATAACATTAACTGTGGCTACAGAACAGAACACCGACATAACATTAGCTGTGGCTACAGAACAGAACACCGACATAACATTAGCTGTGCCTACAGAACAGAACACCAACATAACATTAACTGTGACTACAGAACAGAACACCGACATAACATTAGCTGTGGCTACAGAACACAACACCGACATAACATTAGCTGTGGCTACAGAACAGAACACCAACATAACATTAACTGTGGCTACAAACCAGAAAACACACATAACCTTGACTGTGACAACAAAACACAAAACAAACATAATATTAACTGTGCCTACAGAACAGAACACCAACATAACATTAACTGTGACTACAGAACAGAACACCAACATAACATTAAATGTGGCTACAAAATAAAAATAGAAAAGAAAAGGCAATAAGCAGTATTGTCGCATTTGTAGAGGCATCTCCATTTGAAGCCATGTATGAAAATGACTTGCTAAGAATCTGGAACAACGAATTAGATCTGTTTTAGTTGAGATTCTGAGACCAGCACGGGTGGGATTCAGCAAAAGAAGAGTGTATACTGACGCTATTGACGCCCAAACTATCCACAAACCAAGAGTGCACAGACACCAAACTATCCACAAACCAAGAGTGCACAGACACCAAACTATCCACAAGCCAAGAGTGCACAGACACCAAACTTACATCACTTTTATAGATCAAGTAAAGTCTTTTGACAGAGTAAACAGATTTGCTTTGGGGTTTCCTTGAAAACTATGGTGTCAATAGAACAATACTAGATTGCGTAAACGATTTTTATAGAGCAAGTGTAAGCGCCATCAGAACAAGAGCTGGCCTCACTTACTGGCTCCCAGTAACATCAGGAGTTAGGCAAGGGTATGTTCTTTCACCTTTACTCTGGTTCCCTGTAACATCAGGAGTAAGGCAAGGGTATGTTCTTTCACCTTTACTCTGGTTCCCTGTAACATCAGGAGTAAGGCAAGGGTATGTTCTTTCACCTTTACTCTGGTTCCCTGTAACATCAGGAGTAAGGCAAGGGTATGTTCTTTCACCTTTACTTTTTATAATATTCATGGACAATATTAATAAAATAGACATAACACTACCAGATATCGATAAACAGGAGGACTTCAATGAGCTGCTCTTTGCCGATGATTAGTGCATATTCCACAACGAAAGTGAACATCTGCAGAACCGTATAAACTAACTACACGACAGTTGTTTTAAACATCACATGAAGAGCAATACTGAAAAAAAAAATGGGTATTGGAAATGGGTACCATAGTTGACACTCTGGGGTAAATGGAGGAACATCTCTGTAGCTACAGAGTTACGTGCGAACGGCGACACAGGCAGACAATTCTTATCAGTTGTCCGTACTGGTGGCAGAGCACTTATGCTTTATAACCGTGTGCAATGACGCTGGTGTACATCTCCCGACTTTACCTTAACCTTTTACTTAGAAAAAAATGGTTTTAAATTGTGAACAAATAAACAAATAGAAGTGATAAGAATATGTAGAGAGCAAATAACCACCGACATAAAAATCAAAGTCACAGTTTGAAACAATTGCAAGACAAATTAAAAAAATACAATATTTATACCGACTTTAGGCTACCAATGTCAGTCTTGGACATTGACAAAAGAACACCACAGAAAACTAACCACCTGTGGTTTGATTTGTTTGAGAATGGCTGTGAATAAAACTAGAAGAGACCTGTGGGTTGATTTGTTTGAGAATGGCTGTGAATAAAACTGGAAGAGACCTGTGGGTTGATTTGTTTGAGAATGGCTGTGAATAAAACTAGAAGAGACCTGTGGGTTGATTTGTTTGAGAATGGCTGTGAATAAAACTGGAAGAGACCTGTGGGTTGATTTGTTTGAGAGTGGCTGTGAATAAAACTAGAAGAGACCTGTGGGTTGATTTGTTTGAGAATGGCTGTGAATAAAACTAGAAGAGACCTGTGGGTTGATTTGTTTGAGAATGGCTGTGAATAAAACTAGAAGAGACCTGTGGGTTGATTTGCTTGAGAATGGCTGTGAATAAAACTAGAAGAGACCTGTGGGTTGATTTGTTTGAGAATGGCTGTGAATAAAACTAGAAGAGACCTGTGGGTTGATTTGTTTGAGAATGGCTGTGAATAAAACTCGAAGAGACCTGTGGGTTGATTTGTTTGAGAATGGCTGTGAATAAAACTAGAAGAGACCTGTGGGTTGATTTGTTTGAGAATGGCTGTGAATAAAACCAGAAGAGACCTGTGGGTCGATTTGTTTAAGAATGGCTTTAAATAAAACTGGAAGAGACCTGTGGGTTGACTTGTTTAAGAATGGCTGTGAATAAAACCAGAAGAGACCTGTGGGTTGATTTGTTTGAGAATGGCTGTGAATAAAACCAGAAGAGACCTGTGGGTTGATTTGTTTGAGAATGGCTGTGAATAAAACTAGAAGAGACCTGTGGGTTGATTTGTTTGAGAATGGCTGTGAATAAAACCAGAAGAGACCTGTGGGTCGATTTGTTTAAGAATGGCTTTAAATAAAACTGGAAGAGACCTGTGGGTTGATTTGTTTAAGAATGGCTGTGAATAAAACCAGAAGAGACCTGTGGGTTGATTTGTTCGAGAATGGCTGTGAATAAAACTGGAAGAGACCTGTGGGTTGATTTGTTTAAGAATGGCTGTGAATAAAACTGGAAGAGACCTGTGGGTTGATTTGTTTGAGAATGGCTGTGAATAAAACTGGAAGAGACCTGTGGGTTGATTTGTTTGAGAATGGCTGTGAATAAAACTAGAAGAGACCTGTGGGTTGATTTGTTTGAGAATGGCTGTGAATAAAACTGGAAGAGACCTGTGGGTTGATTTGTTTGAGAATGGCTGTGAATAAAACTAGAAGAGACCTGTGGGTTGATTTGTTTGAGAATGGCTGTGAATAAAACTGGAAGAGACCTGTGGGTTGATTTGTTTGAGAGTGGCTGTGAATAAAACTAGAAGAGACCTGTGGGTTGATTTGTTTGAGAATGGCTGTGAATAAAACTAGAAGAGACCTGTGGGTTGATTTGTTTGAGAATGGCTGTGAATAAAACTAGAAGAGACCTGTGGGTTGATTTGTTTGAGAATGGCTGTGAATAAAACTAGAAGAGACCTGTGGGTTGATTTGTTTGAGAATGGCTGTGAATAAAACTAGAAGAGACCTGTGGGTTGATTTGTTTGAGAATGGCTGTGAATAAAACTCGAAGAGACCTGTGGGTTGATTTGTTTGAGAATGGCTGTGAATAAAACTAGAAGAGACCTGTGGGTTGATTTGTTTGAGAATGGCTGTGAATAAAACCAGAAGAGACCTGTGGGTCGATTTGTTTAAGAATGGCTTTAAATAAAACTGGAAGAGACCTGTGGGTTGACTTGTTTAAGAATGGCTGTGAATAAAACCAGAAGAGACCTGTGGGTTGATTTGTTTGAGAATGGCTGTGAATAAAACCAGAAGAGACCTGTGGGTTGATTTGTTTGAGAATGGCTGTGAATAAAACTAGAAGAGACCTGTGGGTTGATTTGTTTGAGAATGGCTGTGAATAAAACCAGAAGAGACCTGTGGGTCGATTTGTTTAAGAATGGCTTTAAATAAAACTGGAAGAGACCTGTGGGTTGATTTGTTTAAGAATGGCTGTGAATAAAACCAGAAGAGACCTGTGGGTTGATTTGTTCGAGAATGGCTGTGAATAAAACTGGAAGAGACCTGTGGGTTGATTTGTTTAAGAATGGCTGTGAATAAAACTGGAAGAGACCTGTGGGTTGATTTGTTTGAGAATGGCTGTGAATAAAACTGGAAGAGACCTGTGGGTTGATTTG